CACATAATGACTTTTCCCTACCCCCCATATATAGGTGAAACAGGAGACATTTGGAAAGGCAAAATTGAGTTCCAGTGGAGAGCAAAACCAAAGCACTGGGAGGGGGTGGTGTCTTGCTTTCTGCTGTTATTTGTTCAGTGAACATGAGCTGGATTGCATCATATGCTTTGTGAGCACTGTGGTCCCGGCATAGCTCTCTCCCATGGCCATTTTACTCCACTGTGTTGAATGCCCTTTGTATGGCCCCTGCCTCTCATATCTCTTGGTCATGATGATTGCAGTGGCTCAGCTGCAAATAGGTTTGATTGTACACAGTTAGAGGGGAAAGAGTTGGATTTTCACTGTTTAGAAAATGACTTAATAAGCTTGAGAGATTTTGTATATATTTCTCTACTTCTGTGTTGATGAAAGAAGAACAGGATTACCCAATATGAAGTTTTATTTTCTAGTAGCTGTCAGTGGCTTTGCCATTGTTAAGACATGTGAAAATGTATTTTCTAGTAAGTATATATGTGATTCAGACTTCTCATATTTTTGCCAGCAGATTTAATACTACACAATGTACAAGTTATTTTTTGTTTTATTTTTTTTCCCTTTTTTTCTTTTTTTTTGCTTGGCTAGAACTGGTATTTAGTGTTAGCATGCCTGGATCCTCCCTGAGGATTAATTTATCAAAAACTAAATAAAACATGTCTACTGGCTGTTTTCTTTTTCCTGATGTTTATTTTCCATGTCAATAGAGAGGTTACTTTTTCAAGTAGAAAGTGGAGGGAAAGCAAGAAAAAGACTAATAGGAGAAGAAAAATGCTGAAGAAATGGGAAATGGGGAGCCAGTCTATTATACTCTATCATTTTGTCTTCCAAGAATACGGAAATGACTTGTCTATAAAATTCTCATTAGCCTAAAATAAGCAAAACTCCCTTCTGGAATCTTATTAGGCAATGTCAAATTGAGTAACAAAAACTTATTTTTAATGAACTTCTGAGGACACAGGTTGAGTTTTAGCACTACTAACCTATCTTCTCCAGTCAGTTTCCCTCTTTTCAGGATACTGCTCTGTGCTTGGGTGTTTAGGGAAGAAAGAAGGGTCATTTAAAAATGTTGCAGGATCTGGGATGATAAATGGCTTCCTGATTGTCAGCTTGCCCACATGCCATTAGTGAAATCTGCTGTAATTTGCATCTTTTGTTACTTCAGTCCAAATCTGGGTGCGTGCTTATTTGGTATTAAATTGCTCTCTTTCAAATTAAATCAGCCAAAGATTGGTTCCATAATGTTTGAAAGCAGGGTGCTCAAAGAAGGTGTGTACAACATTGAACCAGAACAGATAAATTAATAAATTAGAAGAGATTAAGTTTTAGAATTAGAATTATTTTATGGTAATTTATTGTACAGGAATGACTCAAGTCTAGAAGATCATTTTGCCTTTATTAAGTCATTGTAAAGTAATTAGCAGTTTTCACTGCATATATCACAATTGAACAACTTCAAAGTGTTTGGTGGTTTGGTTTGGTTCAGATAAGCAACCTTCAGTTTGCATGTTTATCTAGGACTTATCTGAACTATTTGGACTGAAGGTGGTAATAGGAACAAAACCTACAACTAACTTCAAGTTAATATATTACATTAATAAAACACCAGCCATTCCAAAAGAAAGAAGCAGGAAAGACTAAAAAATTAGGTCACACTTCTTGACTGACGTGAAACACATTAGCTCCGTTAAAATGGATACAGACAGTGATATTTAATGTCCTCCTACAGGAATCCTCAAGGTTTTACTGGTGGGTTGTAAGTAATGAGAATTAAATTACTGGCTCACAGTGGACTAACTGGAATCTCTTCTCATGAGCTTTTGGGGTTCCTCTCTTGAAAATCTCTCTATTTCTTCCAATGGTTTTAAGTGTGCGTTCAGTCTGAGGTAAGTGCTTAGCATTCAAGTGATTGTGCTAGGCTCTGGTCTTTCTTGATTTATTATTTTCTCCCACTCTCCCTTTCAAATGGAGAATGGAGACGGTAACTTAATGGAATAATATTTCCAAAGGGAATTTAAATGGTTTTTAGGAACTTGAAGTATGTTAGGACATACACTGGTGTAGAAATAGGCATCAGCACCTCCACTGAGGTCTCTGAACATGAATCATCCAGTGACTGCTGCTTTACCAACCAAATTTGGTGGTAGACTTTTAACCATGGGTAAGCCAGGATGGCTAAATCAAGCTGCCACATTAAGGCAGGAAGGTTTCACCTAGCTGAATTTGAATGAGACTCATAGGCTTCCATGCTGTCATTAAGTGGCTCCAGGTATATGTATTCAGATGTCAAATGAGAGATTTGTTCACCGAAAGTGAGGATCACAGAAACTGGCTGATATGTAGGCTTTGTTTTCTTTCCATTTTGAAGAAGGGATGGTGGGCATAGCTTTGGTGCTTACATGATTAAGTTTTTCATTCAACTTCCTGGCCTGTGCCAATGTTTGGGAGCAGTCCATACTTCTAGCTCTTCTTAAGAGCTTACCCATTCTGGTTTCTCTTTCAGAATTTTACTTTGGCTACCTTCAAGCTCTCCCTCCCATCGTGACATTTGTTGTGCTGTCAACAAGTGCTGTTAACAAACCCCTTGTGTCACCAGAGCATGTGGCTGACGGATGGTGAGAGCTTGGCTCCCATCTTACTGCTTTATACAGAGACAATTGCTGGTGCTTCTTGGACTGCCTTTGAGATTTTGGCCAGACTAATCCTTAAACTGAAAATTTTGGTTTAATTTGCACATCTGCACATACAGGTTAGCCCATGGTCATTAACTTTCTTACAGAGGAAACACTTTACATTAAAAAACATGAGTGGTGAGCAAATATGCTAGTTATTTTGCAGTCAAAAGTAGGTTCCAAGCTGAGCCATTGCTCTGCGTGGCGCTGAAGAGTCCAGACCTATATGGTAAAACATGCATGGATGTTCAGCAGCACAACTTGTTCCATTTTGAGTGCTTAGAGGGCAGGCATGTATTTAAACTTCTTTGAATTGCACTCAGAATCCCAGTATGGCCCGTTTTCTGCAAGTAGAGGCTGCTAAAATGCTTTGCTTTTGTCAGGGTTTGTGCTGGGCAGTAAGATTATGACAAAATACCGTACGTATCGTGGTCATTTGTTTTTTCTTTGTCCAAATATCAATATAAAAATGATATTTTTCAGAATGGGACTTTATAATGCTTAAGAAATGTACAGGACTTCAAGTTCCTCATTTGACATTGACTTCCAAGTTCTCACACAGAGCTTTATTAATATACTGAGAATGTAAACACTTGATTATTCAAAATCACTTTGTAGGCAGTGGGGAGAAAAAAGTGATTGAGAGCTGTATTTCAGTATTTGTCAAGGATTGAGTTATCACAGCCAGTTCTTAAGACTGGTGATCAACCCATTTAAAAATATACTGGTTTCAACTTAAGCTAGTAAAATTGCCAAATCACCTTCAGAATTCTCTTGTTTTGATCTTTACTTAGCATAGAAGAGCTTCTGAATGCTGCAAATACTGCAGTACAGGCCTTCTTTCATTTAAGATCTTAACTGGAGGTAGTCAATGAGTTTGTAAATAATCTGCACACACCAGGTTTCCTTTCAATTTTGGTTTGGATACAAAATGATTTTCCTGGTATTTTAAGCTCCTCAGCCATTCAGAGCTGTTACCCTGAAGTTTTCTTAAACACTGGGGTAGAAGATCTACTGGTGTAGGCCTGATAACTTGTCTTTGTTTTCAGAAGGGTGCAAAATGTAGCCCAAAGCAGTTCAGGACAGGGCACCCTGCACATCAGATGGTGACTGGTAGAATATTTGCTGAGGTGTGGGTAGGTATATGGCTTTGTGGCATCATTTGACTGATCTTATTTTTGTGCTTGATGATTCTGTGTCTGGACTGTCACAGTCCAGTCAGGACTTCTGTTTGTTTCTTGGGCTCTTTGATCAAGCCTATTTTCAATAAAGTAGACTAAGAAAAAACCCTTGCAGCAGTAAAAGGAAGATGGGCTTTTTTTTTTTTTTTCTGTAGGAATTGGGTTAAGTGCTGCTTTTAAAATTTTTGGTCATATTCACTTTGTCTCTCCAAATAATTAATTTTTAATTGGTACAATTTTACACTGATAAACAAAGTTTTTCTTAACAAATACTTTATTTCCACTTAATAAGTCTTCTATTTTATTATTTCTTCTATTTCTCTCTCTCTCTCTCTCTTTTATTTTTTTCTCTTTTGCAAAATAGCAGAGAACGGTGAAAAGAGTGAGAAGGAAACTAAGAGGATCTCGTAATCAAAAATGAGATTTTTTTTTTTTCAAAAGGCTTCAACAAAACTTTATTTTGCATTTAAAAAATGTGCACAGAAGCTGTCTGTGGGTGAACCAACATCTTTGCTGTTAATGAAGTTGCAGTGTAACACAGAAAGTCACACCAAGCTAAACCCTGTGGGGCTCTAGAATGTTCCTACTCACCACCCACATTTAGTTTACATGGATGTTGGTCTCATGTCACAAAAGTGGAAAGGCAAAAAGAAGGGGGAGTGCTGCCAATGTCATTGCATCCATTCTGAGCTGCACTGTCTGAAGAGCTCTCCTGGGGGATTTGGTAATGGCTGGGGACAGACTGGATGATTGATATTTTTGGCTCTTCTCTCATTCTCTCTCCTCTGGTGCAGGGGGAGAGTCAGGCTGCTCGTGAACAGGCCACTGAATTACCAGCAACACACATTTTTAGGCAAATTGCTGCTGATTTTGGTTTATTTGGAATGGTTACAGTTTGTCAGCAGCCTGGCTAGTTGAGCACTAGGAGCAAACATCCAGGAGACTGCTGTCAGACCTGACATGGCACAATCCTGCTCGTCAGCTCTGCCTCTTCTAGTAACCCCAAGCAGAGAACGGGGCACATTAAGGATGCTGCTTTATGATCCTCAGCAGCAGTCTTCCAGGAATTGCTGCATTCAGCTGGACTGACGTGTGCTTCTGTCTCTCCCTCCAGACTGCAATTTTGGAGGAAAGACATACAACAGCTCTATGAGATGGCACCTCCCTAGCAATCCCTGTATTACATACCAGTGCCAGGTAAGCATGTCATAAGTACCCCAGTAACTGAGTCATGAGCTTTTCTATAAAACTCAGAGCCTTTTTTATCCAGTTCCAATAACCCAAAATATTTTATTCTCAAAGCGCGATAAGCACTTTGCATTTAAAGCAGCTGAAATCCATTCAGAAGTGACCCACTATCCAGACATCCAGAATTGTAGGTTGTACATGAGCTGAGTACTCTGAGACCCAAACGATGCTGAAAAAGTGGTACTTGGCTGTGCCATTTCCTTCTGTTTTGACCTTGCAATAACTCCTCTTTTCTCAGCGCATTAGGTATTTTCTGAAATACAAATTATTGTTTTAGTAATTCAATGCTTCTGTGTGTATTTTGTCTGCATACCTGGAAATGCCCTTCAAGAGAAACCCACAGTCAAATTTTTTTTCTTCAGTTTTTGCCCCGTTAACAAAAGCATAGCAACGTTCTTATACACAGATCCTCACCCCCAGGTTTGTTAAAAAGGACTTTGACTCCTTGAACAAGTAGTACAGGAAATGTTAATTTACTAATACTTATCAGGAGAAGCATCAAAGACAAGCATCTCACCTCTACAACAAGATGCTTTTATCTGCTAAGTCTTTTTCCTCTGAGGGGAGAGGGGGAGAATACCTTGTGTCTGGTTCCACCAAAGCTGCATGGCAGATTGCTAAGGCTAAGGATGCCTGATAAAGGAGGATTCCTTCTCCTGAAAAGGTGCTTCCTTTCTTACCTGATGCATTTTAAGGCAAATCCTGCATCTGGAGACAGGGAGACTCGAATCTTTTGGCTGTGGATTAACTTGCATCCTGATACCAGGCAGCAGGCACAGAAAGCAAAGGGCCTTTGACACCCAGCTCTCCACAGCGTTTGCCCTGCTGCACTGTTTATAACTGTGAATTTTAGCTTCTTAAAGCAACCACAACAGTAACAATGAACATATGTGATCTGCTCTTTTGCAGGAGGGAGTGATAATAGAGTCGGAGGTACAATGTGTTGTTCATTGCAAAAACCCATCCAGAGTTGTGGGGATGTGTTGCCCCGTGTGTCCAGGTGAGATATTCCATGGGGAGATGCTGCTCCATGCATGCAACTGTTTTTGTAATGGTAATAAGTATTACCTGGGAGGTTGATTGAACTCTGCTTTTAAACTTTACTAGTTACCAAAATACGGGCCACTGGCTCATGTAATAAGCTCCATGACACAAGAGAATGCTTAATATTTTTAGTAGAGAACATGTAGCCTCTGGCAATGGCTGCATGTCTTTACAGTATTTTTCAGAGAGTCAGTCAGCTGTTTTTTTCCTGGCTGATGATCGGAATTTTGATTGGAGAGGAAATTTAAGAGTAATCCTAAAAGAAAGTTTGATTTTTTGAGAGATGATGTGAATGTATTGCCTTTGTGAAGCAGTAGCAAATTAACCTGGTTTTATTGCTAATTTGATTCGAATAGAAATCTTATAGGCAAGTGCTGCTTCCATTGTGGTATAATGAGTTTATTACACTAATTTTTTAAATATCTGCCAATATCTAACATGAACTCAGGGGCTAAGAACAAGCAATGAGAACAAGTAAACAGTTTATGAAAATGTTTCAAAGCTGCTTTTAAATGGAAGACTTCACTTAGCCTCAACTTCATTGGTACAGATTTGTCTGCTGTAGAAAAATGCTTCCCCAAAACTACATTTTGGGATTCTCAAGGCCTTTGTAAAGGCTTCTGGAGTGATTTGTCCCAGAGAATATGTGTGATTTACTTTTCATATTGTCCTGTGAAAGGGTGTGTTGCAGTAAAAAGGCAGTGCGCTATCCTGAGCTAAACTTATTCAAATACTGTTTTCCAGGTTGTATATTTGAAGGGAGACATTACAATGAAGGAGAAGAATTTAGGCCTGAAGGAAATAAATGCACCAAGTGCTCTTGTGTTGTAAGTATTTGCCTTTTGGCACTGTGTCTCCCTGTATGAACTTTGAAAGGCATGTTATTATTGTCATAACAAAACAAAACAATATAAGGAATTCAACACCACTCTTCTCTTGGAGTTAAGATATCTGTTGAAGATTTTTTTCCTGTGCTAATACATTTTATCACTGATATTCACAGTTTATCATCTTTTTTGTGACCACACACTGTGTCCAGATAGAGAATGTTATTTCGGAGTGGGTTGAGGCAGCAAATTAGTGATGTTTTTTTTTTGCAGTGGGATCATGCAGGAGAGAGAAGGCTTTTTGGGTTTCATCTATTGATCAGTTTAAGGAAACATCTAGTAAATGCTGATCCTTTGCAAGGACTCCTTTCTGCAACAAGAGCTTTTGCTCTGGATTACTGAGTGAAAAGATGAGGGTAGCCTCCCTAGGCTGTCCCAGGTGGATTTTGACTTGACGCTTAATGAAAAGGTCATATCCTGGATTTTATCCTTGACTAGCAACAATATCGAGAGGAAGTAATAATTGCATCCTCTGGGTAATGAGCACAGGCTTCTCTTTCACTTCCATTAAGTTAAAAGATAATGCTGTATAGCTGGGGTAGATAACTTTGACTTCACTGGTGTGATCTGTGAGACCAGTAAAATGCAAAGCTCAAATCACTGCTTTTGTTGCAAATGATGGGCTGGCTATCAGCAGAAAATGCAAGATTGGGGAACTTTACTTTTCAGTGGAATGTCACAAAGTTTTCTCAGTACCAGACATGGCTCTCCTGCATCATTAAAATAATAAAAAAAAACGGGGGGGGGGGGGGGGGGGGGGGAGAATGATAGAATTAAAAAATAAATACGTATTTATACACACATTTAATGAAGAGACTGCAGAGAACTCTGTGGAATTAACATACACTAAATCATCACTGCTCCTGAGAAGATTTGGGCAGCTCAGGGTTGGTATTTTTTTGTTAGTTTTTTTTTTTTTTTCCCCCCCAAGTTTTATCGTGTAATGATGAAAATATGTTGTCACCCTTGTCAATGGTGATCTACACCCCTGGCTGTGCTGCCTGCCTGCTGTCCTGAGCAGAAGGGCACAGCTCCCTGCATTCTCATCGGGTCCCCTTGCTGTTCAGCTGCAGAGGTGAGGCAGCAGCTTTACACTGCAGCTTTCCTTGGTGATGCTCCTGAGGGGAAGGCAGATCTGAGTGGTTGAGAAGTGTGTGGAGACAGGCTTTCGTCTTTTGGGGGCTGTGCATTGCTTTTTCCTAAATACTAGACGGATACTGCATACTACCCAGTTGTGCCAGTATCTCCTCGATCAACTTTCCTTTATTCCCTAAATAGCAAAAGCAGCTGCGCCTGGAAGAGCACAGTGGGGGAGTGGGATATCTTGGAGTAGAAGAGATAAAGAAATATAGGCATACAGGGTCAGACCTCAGGGCCTTTCCTTGACAGTAACCAGTCCCAGGTACATTAGAGAAGGAAACAAATCAGCTTCTGATAGTAAGAGGTTTAAAGCCTGAAGCAAGAGACGTAATGATCCCTTCTGAGAAAGGCAGTGTGATGATTCGGGATGGTAATTATATCTGTATAAGATGTCCAGCTCTAAGGCCGAATCTTATAGACACCAAAAGAAGAGTGTCTGTGTGTATGCCACTCCTGAATTCTCTCTCTCTGTAGTTCCTTTTTTTAGTGCCTCTTGCCCCCTTCCTGCAGAATTTGGGCCCACGTTAATCCTTACATAATTTAAATTGGAAGCAAGTTAACAGAAGCATCCTCAGGCTGCAGTAGCTGTTTACTGCCTGCTTTGCATCCATGTTCTTTTGGGAATGAGTTTCCAGTGAATCTCTTATCTAAGCAGTTGCTGGATATGCAGATACCAATCTACTCCTGTGATACGATGGGAACAGGCTTGAGTGTGATGTGCTTTAACTTGTGCAGTATTTAAAAGATTAAAGGCAGTTCATTGCCCCAAATTAGATTTCTTCTGCGATGATTTGCAGTTGTAACTATTTAGTGAATATATTGTGGAAGTGTAATGGAGGAAGTGACATGAATTGCTGTCAAGGTATTTCTGGGATGGTGATGGTGCAAAACACTCACTCAAGCATGAATTCTGGGTTTTGCTTAGGAATGAACTTTTCTAATAGCGGACTATTCTGGGCTACAAAGGGCATCATTGTCCTTGGGGACTGGAGGCAGCATTAAACAGGAAGAAAGCAAGGAGGGATGGCTGTGGTTTGTATTTCTAGAGAAACATAGGGCTGTTCTACACTTAATAAATCCATTACAATGAGTGATTACTTATAAAAGGAAATTTTATAGTTGCAAAATGATGTGCTCAACACTCTACACATGCCAGAAATTCAGGATTGCAGAGCCCAGTCTTCATAAAGCTCTTTGGTCGTTCAAGTCTGTGGTATTTTCAGCTCAAAGCAGTGCCTACTAGACACTATTGAGCTCCCGAGGAATGTGAAGTGGTCGTTAAGATGTTTTTTTTTGTTGTTTTTAATGTGCATTTTCTGTGCAAATCAAGACAAAGCAGGGCATTAGGGGCTTGGGGAGCCCTGTCTCCTTGCAAGCCCCTGGCCATAAAGGATGCGAAACGCACTTCCTTCAATCCTTGCCTGCTATGCTATCAACTTGTTAGTGCAGTTTCTGTTTATCACCACTTGTGGTCCTTGTTATTGTCTGCTGAGAGCCAGACCAAATTCACCAGGCTCATTTCATGTAGATCATTGAAACAACCCATTAGCTAATAACTTTTGGGTTGCTACCAAGCCAGGCTGCCCTCACAGGGGTGACGCAGGGATGAAAGGCTCCGTATACCATTACCACTTTCCTGAGCGATCTACTCCTTAGGGTGACTAAGATTTCTTGCTGAAAATGAAAATGTATCACCTCTCACTCAATGCATATTGCCTGTCAGGAGTGAATGGGCCGGCTTTTAATGACTCAGTTTCTCTGGGGAGATGCATTTGTGTAAGAAAGGTGGACAGGATAATAGGGATCTCCTCTCATGTCGGCTGAAACCCAGCTGTCTCTCAGTAATTCATCTGTCTAGCCTGGTCCTGCTTTTCTTGATAGGCCAGTAGAGTGGTCTAGAGAGAGCTTGAATATTTTCCCTACTGTAAGCACCTACTTAAGGGAAGGACTGGCTGCTTTAATCAAGTGTTATTTCTCAGATACTACTTTTATGAGTCTGAGAGTGTGTTTCTGCTTGCACGGTGAGAGCACTTGGCTTACATGTTTCCTTTCTTACAGCCTACACTGAAATAGTCAGACTACGATCATCTTAAATGTTTTCATTTTCTCTTTTGATGTAGCACATCTGAAAAACTAAAAAACAATAGCAAGAGGACAGGAGAGAGGGCGAGAGAGGGAGGGAGGAGAAGAGGCTCGGCAGGAAAATGACCTTGGGAGTGGTAACCATGGAGAAGCATATTTCTTAATGGTAGTATCCAAACTCATAAGTAGCAGCTCTGACCACAGGCACGGTCTCACACTGCCGTTACCCAGACCATGGGCGCTGTGCGTTCGAGCATGTGAGGCATGCAGCCATACGAGGGGCTGCCATGCTGAGAGCATGCTGTGCTATGGAGACGTCTCTGCTGAGGGCTGGTCTTCCCCTGAAGCCCCAGCTGCGAGCGTGGCTTGTTGCATTTGGGGAACAATCGCAGGCTAGGTTATGGCATTGCTGGGATGGCTGAGGGATGCATGTATAACCAGCTGGATTGAAAACGGGATGGGTTGTGCCATCCATCTGTCCAGCAGGGATGCATATTGTGGGGCTGTCCTCAGGGCTGCTCTCCTGAAATGTTGCAAAGCAAGTGAAACTTAAAGGGATGAAAGCAGAGCACGGGGGTTTGGAGAACTGAATTTAAAAGCAGCCTCAGTTCTATGGTTGTGCATACATCAAGGGCTTTCTTGCTCCTGCGCAGAGGGACTCAATGTGCACAGCACTGCTGGTCTGCAGGTGTACTTGTGGGTCTGTGCAGGAAATGTCTTGTTGTTTATGTTCCCGAGTGTTAGAGTGCAAAAACTGCATAATGAAAGTTTTGCACAAAGAAAAGGAAATCACACCAAGAAATCTGTTCCTAAATCAATGAGTAACAGACGTTGCAATGGCGATAAATAAGGAGAAACTACATATGCTAGTATTTTGAAGATTGAGGGTGGAATTCTTGTCTAGCTCCAGACATTTAGAAAAAATGTGTCTAGTCTGAACTACTTATCTGGGCTCCTCTTCAGTTGATAGGGAGAGAGGTAGGATGGATTACCCTTGCAGATGCCTATCTTTCTCTAGTAACTATAGGGGGAGCCTTTGTGGCTCCCACAGCCCCTGAGATGGCTGAAGATAGCTGGGATGGATTCCACCCCTGCAGTCAGATCGGTGATGGAGCATCCTGATACTGCATTAAAAGATTTACTTTAACAAATATTGGGAGCTGCTGAAGTATGTTCCCACAACAACTCTGGTCTACAGGGAATCTTGTAATTAAACATAGGAAGTGCATAGTTGTGTGTATGGCAGTGAGGGCGGGCAGTACAAGTCCAAATTAAAACATCCATTCTCACTGCAGTGCCAAATGCCCATCTTTCTGAATTTCCATGTGCTTGACATGGAGCTTTGATTCAGCTCCAAATTACAGCAGATGCTTTCTGCCCCTCTTTGAAGTCAATCAGATAGTGACTGAGTTTTAGTCAGGATGAAAAAGCGGAGTAGGTCTTTTTGTAAGAATAGTGTTTATTTGCTCAAAGTTAGTGATGTAAGAAATAGTATTTGTATTATGTGGATGAAAGTGGAGAGCAGTAAGCATTCAGAAAAGGGATATGGAGTGATGTTCTGTGTTTCTCTGAAAGCCCCCCCCACTTCCAGATTTTTTGCAATTCCTGAAGGATTGGTTTTCTAGCCTAATAAAAATATAACCTTCCAGCTAGGTGTAAAAGTATGGCTGTGCAGGTAGAAGGTATGGAAGGTAGAAGGGTATGGACCTGGCTATGCG